TATGTCTTCACTACCCGCCGTATCGGCGGGTAGCAATCGATTTATCCGGGATCAATATATCGCGTCTCGTTAAGACGCGATATATCGATCCCCGAACGCGCTCACCGTCGACTCCGGAACTCCACCAGAGCGAGCGGCGGTAGCGCAGTCGACGGGGGAACCGCGGCCGTCGATCCAGTACCGTGTGGACCCCAGGTAATTCGAACTTAGATACTTCGACTTCAGCTATTCTATTCGCGTAGCTGAGGTTGCGTATCTTAGATCGATCCCCTTCCTCCCTCCCCCCCAGTGTAGACCAGCCCTGAGAGGTGGTCATGTAACCAGCGGAGGAAACTATTGCCGTGAGGTGTGAACTCCACCCCTCTACCAGTACGCCTAGGCGCACACACATCTAAGTGGAATCATGTCTGTCACTTGTCAAAGAACCACAGTTACTGTAAGTAAACGTTTCATTCAGTTGCACTCAGGGGAATCTTCTAGTAGACAAGGTTCCAACAGCTTCCAGTGTGTTTACTGACATGTTAGTTAACCCTTCTAAGGAGCAAGTTTTAATTAACATGGTAGCTTTTTATTTAAAAGAAAGCGACCGTTCTCGCTGCCTAGAGTATTGCTGGACTTGTACTCATGTACATTAGGACTAACACCAGTGCTGATGAAACAAAGTTGGCAAACTGCTGAGAATACCTTTTTCCCCTAAAATTCCATAATGTAGACAAGACCTTGCAAGTCAGCTGCAGTCCTTGATAACACTTGTTGTCAGAGAGGAGTAACTTTCCTAAGCTTGGGTGCACATCTGTATTGTGCTTCATGACCTTCTGTTATGGTAGTAAAACTTCTCCATTCTAAAAATGCTTTGGAAAAGGAATGGCAAAGTATTCACTCTCCACTTCTAAGGCCTCCCTACCCCCGAGAAACCTGAACTCTTTCTTGCTCCTCTCCCCTGCTTTCTGTAGAGGCAGCATGCTGAGATTCTGGGGGAGCAGGCCCAGCTTGTGGTGTGTCAACAATAAGCTTTGCAGACTGAGCAAGGAGTAATCTCTAAGGCTGGGGACTGGGGGGCGTCAACTGAGCCTCCCTGCTAAGAGACGTTTTTTCCATAATGCCAGTGATCCACAAGAGAGGTCTCAGGAAACTAAGCATACAAATAGGCTTTCCCCTGTAGCCAGAATATCAACCCTACTCCCTCTTTAGGGTGTTTATGCCTTCCGTTTACATTTCTCCTGAGGGGAAAATTAGTGTGCTCATTTGCATTTTCCTCTTTAAGGAAACAAGCATTGGCCTATGTCCAGACTAATCTTCTGATATGAGTCTCGCTTCTTAATACCAAGTTCATATATATATATATTCTCCTATCATGCCATATTTGGTTTTTAATCTCTCCTTGCTTCAGTCACTTCTTATCATCACTTGCACTGTCTGAAAGAGGCTCAGCCGCCTTTAGTTTTACAGATCTTCCTCAGCTGTTTCTTCAAATGCTTCAATTTGATATACATTTCTACTGTTAAAGGTGGATTTTTGGTTCCATGTAGATAAGACTAATCTATTATCATTGGAGGGGAAATGGGGAAAGTCATGACTTTTCATGGCACAAAGTAGAGATGTCACAGTTTTAGTTGAAGGAAAAAAACTGTATTAATTATTTTTGAGTTGTTTGTCATGGAAAATTAAGAGGTCAAATCTGTTTTACAACAAATTGTTTTAAAAACTTTCAGTAATATCTGAAAACCACCCTCTACTACAAGACAAATATAGAGCCAAATGTACAAAAAAACGGAGAAGCATTGCTGTGACTTGCAAAGCCCATGACTCTCGATATACCACAGCACCCCTGTACCCCAAATGCCTAGTGTTTGTCACAAAAATCATGTTCTCTCACATATAACATTACTTGCAGAAGGTAAATGTAGGACAGTGTTTCTTTTCAGTTAAACGTCTGCACCCACACAGGCGTGAAAGCTTGTTAGCTGTACCTATGGCAATACCAAGGCCTAGCACCAGAGCAGTAACTAAAGCCTATACATTCTTTCTTGGTTACCTGCATGCATGATCATGAAGCCTTCTGTAAAGCCTCTACCCTTGAATTTTTTTGCACAATACCCATTGTATGTTCACAGAACCTATGCAACACAGAGATACTTTCATCTGCTGTTTCTGTATACTACCTAGTTGATACTAACCTTATGACTTCAATCATACAACTGATAACATTATGGTAGGTTTTGAGATATTGTTCTCAATAACTTTGTATCTCTTGGATTTTAAAGAATATGGTCGCAGCAAGTGGCAGCTACCTCTTATAGATCTGCACTTTTCTGTATCTCCTCCAAAAGTTATCAAAATTCATTGCTAAATCAGAAAACAACGGATAGCAAATGTCACACTTTTATCCTCTTGTGTGTGTGTGTGTGTATCTGTACATATGTGTGTATATATATATATATTTATACGTTATGTAACAGTAAATACACCACTCACTCTTTTGTGATGAGAACTGAATGCAAACTTAGTAGAAAGAAGTCCTCGATCCAGGCCTCTATTGTTGACAATTGACTTCAATGCATTACTGAATCTCTGTGGTTTTAAAAGCTTGAAAGAACAAAGAAGGGACTTTCATTGCTGCCTCCTAGATTTCTTGCTCTTAGATTTTGTGTCATTCACTGCACTGGTGAGCAGGCAGAGGTAAATGTTTTTGTTTGTTGTTTGTTTAGAAAAGTCTCTTTACAGATAACCAGAATACCCTACCCCCAAACCATGCCCCCTCTCCAGTTGTACCTTGTGATCTAACATATGACAGGATTTGGATGGCTTAAGGTTACAGACTTGGCGAAAGTAGTCCTGCCTTGCATTGAGGAATAACAGGCACAAAGTCCCTTCGCTATCAATTATATCTTGCAGAGGAGCTCAGAGCAGCCAGCATTTTCTTCCGTACACGGGTCACATGCTGTGCCTCTTGAGCCCTTTGACCCTGTGTTTCATATTGCAGATCCAGCTGTCAAAGTAAAGATGTAGACGGTCCCACACCATAACCATCTCCTGTTCCTCTGCCATGGCAGGCAGGTTTGGAACCATGTTTTTCTACTTGCAGAGTTTGCTTGTTTACCTCAAATTTCTAGTTAATTTTCAGTTGTTTGGGTTTTTTAATAGGATTAGTGATAGAATCCATTAAGATGGATCCAGAGAAGCATTAAAGTGTAAAGTGCTGCATTTACTGTGTGAATATAATGCATTGAATGGACTAGTATCCTTTTAGGTGCTTAAAATACCTGGGAGAAAGTTCAGCCTTTACTGCCAGAAAGAGAAGAAAGTAAGAGGGGTGCTTCATGGTCCACCTCTGGACGATTTCACTGTGCATGCAGATGCCAGCTCTGACCTGCTAGCATAAGAATGTATGGCCCTTGTGCCCACCACAGGCTTACCGCAGATAGTCTGGAGCCCTTTGCCATTAGACTCTGGACATAGTCTTCAACATGGGGGTCGGGCTAGAGAGGAAGGCTCCACTAATGTTGTTTGATCACCATCACCTCATGATTGAGGCCATGGTTCTTCCATTTCCCTCTGGAGGTAGGAGATGTGCAGTTATGAGCTTCCCAAGGAGACTGAAGTAACCTCCCAAGGGTTCTTTGAAACACAGTACGATATCTCAGTCCTGCCCGAGTGCCAGGTGTGGGTAGCCACCTGGGTTGCTATGCTACCCCAGTCTGTTGTCTCTGACCATTGATAGTGGCTCCTAAACAATCTCTTCCTCCATATTGCACTCAGAAATCACTTCAGTTTGCCACTTTTAATCTGTCACTGACAATTTGAATCTAAGGCATTGGTCCTTTTCTTCTGCCAGTGGTTCTACCCAACCAAAACCTCCTCTGGGTGGTCAGCCATCTTATCAACCTAGAGCACCCCTTGCTGACTGTTGAGGCTTTTAATCGCCACAGAAAAGGATGATCTGATCCAGAGCGGCTTCTGGATATTTATGGTGATATTCAGATCGGGATGGTACAGCCATACCACTATCCCTTAGTGAGTCTCAGCCAGTGTGCTTGTGCCCACCCTCATCTGACCTGGGCCTGTGGATATTGTAGCTGATCAAAGCTAGTGGGGTATATCTGAGCCTCCTGTTGGAAAGGGTTGTCCACACATCTCAAATAGGGTTAGCTGCCAGCATCTCTCAAACAAGTTATGGCTAGGCCTCTGCTAAGAAAAAATGATTGGATGAGAATACCTTGGTTAGCTATCATCCAGGATTCTTTAGGCAAAGATACCTGGGAAGGGAGAGGCAGGCCAGCATCAGTAACATTTAACACTTAGGTTGTCTGAACACCATCAGCGCATCAGGGTTGGCCATGGCATGATTTTGCACTAGTGGGGAAAATCAGTGATGGGGTTGGGGTGGGGGAACATTTGTTCTTCAAGAAATGTTATGCTTTCTGATGCAGAGCTGTCTTGCAACTTTGCACATAACCCCAAGTGTGCTTCCAAGAGGATAGTTATGGACTTATATAACACAGTCTGCCTGTCTAGCGAAGAATCATGGTGTTGCTGGGTACTAGCTCTTCTCAAAAATGTTGCCTTGAGCCATCCTAATTCCAGCTAGATAGGGCCTTCTGCGCTCCTTGTTTTTCCATCAGACCTGTTCATCTGTGCAGGAAGCCTCCGTAACATTGAGTGAATTGATTGCCTCAGCCTTGTGGCTCTACTTCGAAGTCCTCCATCTCAAACCGACCTGGACAAAATCAGCTACCAAGCAGTGAGCAATTTCAGTGCATTCCGTGAGCTCCAAACCTTTGAAGTTGCAGCAGAATGGTGCTGGAAACTGGTTCATCACTTTCAGTTCTAAATATGTTCCTTTCTTTTCTATCTTCTTTGTAGTCTAATATTGTCTAAAAATAATTCAGAAGAGTAATAAGCCTACGAAACTGGAATATTAATTTGAATAAGATGTGCATTCATCGTTATCAGTTTGAAGTAATGGATTGGTATAACTACTATTTTTGTCATGTTTACAGAGTTGATATACAAGGAGGTCATGGACCTGGAGGAAAGGACCAAGAACGGGGTTATACGTGGACAACCAGCCCCTTTAGGTTGGTTACAATAAAAGCACTGTACAAGCCTGCCCTATGTGGTAAGCTAGAAAGGCGCAAAGCTGATTCAAGAGTAATAGTTAATATAGCTCAAAGTATGAGTCTAGAATTTCAAGAACACTTGGGCAGAAGTTGCTTTCAGCTAATTCACTTCCTGAGTGATAATATTTGATGCCGGTGCTCTGCTTTGGAAACATAAAGCACTATATAGCGATTAGTTAACTAATCCTCCCAACACCCCCATGAAGCAAGGCTTTGGGGCAGGGACTGTCTTTTTTTTTCTCTGTTTGTCCAGCAACTTGCACAATGGGATTCTTTCCTATGACTGAAGGTATAGCTACAAGGGAAGCAGAAACCCTCAGAAGCGAGACTCAGAGCCTGGGTCTACAGCCTCAGGCTCGTGCTATGGTGCTAAGAATAGCTGTTTAGACATATGGGCTTGGACCCACTCACACCTCGGCTTCACAGCCCGAGCTCCAGCCCAAGCTGAAACAGCTGTCTGTAGCACTGTAGCATGAGCCCGAGTCTGTAGATCCAGGCTTAGAAACTAGCTGTTGCAGGTTTCTGCTTGCCATGTAGAATACCCAAAGGCTCTTAGGAGCCACCACAATACAAATAAATAATACCCCCATTTTACAGCTGGAATACAGTGCATCTGGGCCAAGGTAACACAATGCATCAGTAGCAGAATTCAGATTAGAAATTAGAGTTGCTAACCCTCTCTGCTCAGTCCATTAGATCAGAGTCTCCCAAAAGGGTGATTAGCTAATGAGGTTCCAGTGAGCATCATCAGAGAAAGGCATTTAACCAACAAGCTCACTCCACGGTGGATGCCAAAAATTAGCCTCCTAAATAAGCTTGGCCTGAGTTTCAAAAGTATTTAGTGCCCATGTTTGTATTTCAGTTGGATCTGTCTTCCGCCTGCAAACTCTTATAGCAACAGTGCCTGGGCCTACCTGGCCAATGTAGAAAACTGCAGTGTGATGGCAGCCTTTACCAAGCCCTCCTGAAATCTTGGCTGATCCTGATGAGCACGCTGCTCAAAGTGCTTGTTCCCATCCTTTTAATTTTGGGGCTCCTGACACTGCTCCATGAAATACCCCTTTTTATTGGCTGTGGTATTCTCTCCCATCAGCAGCTCCTCACTATCTGACATTAATTTCTTTGTATCCTGCTCTTGGGAATCCCATTATTTTTTTTAGTAACTTTACTGCCACAGTTCAATAGCTCATGATTAGACATGGGACTTGTAACTTTATAATATACCAAGTTGCTTTCCTCTTGAATTTGCTTTAAAATGCTCATTGTAACTAAGTTACATCCCTGCATAGCTACTATAAAAGTATACTTTAACACTTGCATTTAATGTCTACTAAATATTGAGATCAAATTTCTCACTTGTATTGTTTGCCTGAATAACTAGTTTCTAAACAAGAAAGTGCAGAAAGGCCTTCAGAAGCCACTCTTGTATTTTTGTATAAAATACAGCTGGGTCATTAGAGTACCCCCTTTCCATGGTTGGAGTTCTATGGCACAGGGTGGGATAATAACTGCCATTGTCTCCCTATGTAATCTTGAGCACTTCAAAGTGAGTAAAGCACCAGGAGTCCTGACTCCAACACCACAATTTTCTCAGGTAGCCAAAGTTCAGAAGTATTGAGGATGAAGCCGTTCCCACTGAGGTCATGGAGCTGATGAATGCTCAGAACTTCTGAAAATTCAGCCATTTTTAGGCCTAAGTGTATAGTTAGGAGCCTGCTTTTAGGGTTTTTCAAGATCTTCTCAGGCTTCTGTAGAACTCCTTGCCATTACCTCCTTTCTCTCTCAGCCACACTTGTGAATTTGGCACTCAGCTGTAAGTGTTTATCTCAGATTTACAAGCATCCTGTTATGGAAGACACATGGTTTTTGGCATAGATATAACCCTTCACTTAAATAAAAAATCCTCAAATCTTATTTGAAATGGACTCCAAGAAATCTCTTAGCAGCTTCTTGAGTGGCAAGAAAAACGAATGACCCTTAGAGCGAGAAATACCAATGCAAGTATTAAACCATGCAACTGTATCTGCAACTGATTTGCTGTTTTGTTTCTCATAGCACAGGTGCAGCAATGATCAATGGTTCTCAACATCCGTCTTCATCATCATCTGTCAATGATGTGTCTTCAATGTCAACAGATCCAACATTGGCCTCCGATACTGACAGCAGTCTGGAAACATCCGCTGGACCTCTGGGCTGCTGTAGATGACTACTTGGTCTTTTAGGGGGGAGGGAAGGGGAGTCCTTTAGTCATTGATAGGGCACCTTTAAGAAAATCAGTGGTATTATTTTTGAGTGTTTTTTCAAAAATAATTGTAGGATTCATTTTAAAGTGCTGTAATTTTAAACTGTAAGTTGTGTTAAAAGCAGCCACAAAAATGTATTTTTTTTGCTGTAATTAACTCTGTAAAATATTAAACCTGATAATTTTATCATGGTTTTTAAAAAATCTGCATATTTGCTTTACTATTATGCTGCTGATCTTTTTTTTACTGAATTTGTAAGATTTGTTTGATCAAAGCACATATTAATGTTCTCTACCGTATCATGTATTATTTAAGATTTTATAGGTTTTTCAATTTTTTTATTAGAATTTTTTCCAAATGTTTTGTTCATGATTATCCTTCAAAGTTATATGCTTGGTCACTTACCCATGTGCAAGAGAAAATAATACATTGTAACCTGTTAGAGCTTTGGGTGTAGCTACTCTAGTGGTAGCAGTGAACACAGAATCCTTTAATTCTGTCTTCTTGCCTATAACAATTGAATAAAAGCAGCAGTTAGTGAATTTCATTAGGGAAACCGTTTATGACCCTTGGCAAAGTCACCTCATCTGAGAGGCAATATAAACATAAAGCAAAGCATATCTTTATAGCTGCAGAAGTATCCAGCCTGCCAAAAGGAGATGGTGGCAGAACTGTGGCATGCTGAAGCTTATGATCTCAAGGAGGATACTTCGTGAATAATACATTGCAATGCAAATAAACTGTTTACTTCTACTAGCTATTAGCCTGTTTTTGTACACACAGAACAAGGTATACCCAGGATATCTAGATTGCCTACAGATTTCCCTGTTGCTGTAGTTCTACATACACATAGCATGTGGTTCTTTGGCATTTAATTTCCTTCTTATTTTCTGTGTTAGGATAGAGCAGTTCTATGTTGGGTGTATGTATGGAAAACCGCCAGCTTTTTGATCACTCTTTCTTCACCCAAAGTAACTTATTCCTGTAAACCAATCACTGGTGGGAGAACCTCAGGTTGTAAGATTTCTGTAGCTAATGCATTGAGAGCAATATATGCCATGGTAATGGGGGGGAAATAGCAGTGCTGGATAAATAGTTTTTCTCTTTCACTTAACTATCAGACCATCATAGCAGAAATCTTAAAAATGGTTCTTTTAAAGCCATGAATATTCAGTATCTTTCAGCATTGAAGCCCCAGCTGTCAGTGCTTTTAAAAAAAAAAAACGTAGATCAGTTGCTAAGTAGTCATGTAAAATGGTGCTGATCCTTACAGAACTATGTTAACTGTTTACATTTTATATTTACAGAATGATTTGTGTGTAACTGACTGACTTTGTTTATGAATGAGTAAAACAATCATCCAGAATTTATTCCTTTGAAAAGTGCAGATTTCTCAAGAACCTAAACTATATTGATTGCCTTGTGTAGATAAATATTTTGTGTAGTGAATAAAAATGTGAAAAGGGGTTTAAATTAGTGACACCTACAAAAATGAACTTTTAAAAGAAAAGCACAGGAGTCTTGCCAGGCACAAAGCCTAAGAGAATGAATAGATATAGCTATTGAGATCATCCAAGAATGAAACATGCTGCTCAATGTCTGTTCCTTTAGAATTTGTTGGATAAATAGAATAAATATTCTTTTTAAATTTATAATTGGAAGAGGAAAAATTGCCTTTACCCACTTTCTTCCCCAATTATGTTTTACTGTTTTCAATATCTAACAGAACTTAGACTTTTTAAAAACAATAAAAAGGGTTGCAAGAAATGGTAATGTCTCAAAGAAAGCTGAGAGTCCGTTGTTAAAGTGCAAAGTTGTATTTTCGTTGCCTGGCTAGACCACTGGTAAGTGATGGTGTGAAGTTTTGCTGTTCTCACTTAAATCAGATATTTCAATAGTGAGCTTTAAAACACACACTTATTAAGGCAATTATTTTTACAGAACCCCACCAAACTGTATGTTACCTAAAAGCTGATAGGCCACACGATGGGGATTGGAGCACAGCATACTTTTTCTTGTTGTATTTGGACCAACAGGGCAGTTTATTTTGTGTCTATCGAATTTTAAACTGTGACATAAAGCCAACTGTATTTAGTCATGTATTACAGGATAACATCATTATATAGGCCTAGATAATGTTCTGGTACACTGGTGTATACATCCAGAGTAACTCAGTTACAAGTAATGAAATTACTCCTGATTTATGTCAGTGTAACAGAGCAGAATTTGGCCCCAATCATTCTTGTTTTAGCGGAATTCGGGAATGGCAGTCATCTCTGGTATGCACGCACCCATCTTAGATTCCAGTTCACTTAATTGCTCTTATTTAAGTGCTCTTAAATGAGTTTTAGCAAGACAATTTATTGGCTCCTCTCCCTCCTCCCCCCCATTTTCGATTTCTCTAGTGCTGCCCGCAGTAGGTACTGGAAGTGAAGAGACCATTCAGAGAGCAAGAGACCACTTGAGTCAGAATGGGGCATACCAGCACCCATAGTCCTCCTGGGTCCCACCTTTCTAATAAGTATTCAGATTATTGTTGTCTGTATTTTATGCAAATTAGGTGCCCATCGCAGGCTCCTGGCAAATTTCCAGTGAAGCCTGCTCAGCCAGGCAAAGTTAAAGCTCTGCAGTTCTAAGCCATTGCAACAGTTTGCTAGTCTGAATTCTCTTTTTAGTCAGCGAAATTCATTTTATGTTTCAAGGACAATAAGCGGGTGGCTAGCTAGAATTGTCCTGTCCATTGCTGTTCTCACATTATGTAGGTAGATGTCTAATATCCAATGCACGTTATACTTTCTGATGTGCTATCATTGAACTTGGTTTATTATTTTGATAAATAGTTCCATAATGTTTCCATCCCAACAGTCCGTGCTAAAAGATACACAGCTTTTCCACCTCTAGGACTCCAGCTGCAGTCTAGCCCAGACTAGTAGTGAATGAAAGTGACCCACATCTAATGTCCTATGTAAATTGAGGTGGACACCGCCCACCTAAGAACTGTATGAATTCTCACACTTTTTGGCTAGTTGCAACAAGTCCCAGGACTGAACAGACAACTCCTAGAAGTGGGTCCTTCCAGGTCAGTGTTAAACACACTGGTGGAAGAAGTTTGTACTGCCTTTGCCTGTGCTTCTACCGGTTTTGTGTGTTGAGGACTTCACTCAATGCAACACAAGGAGCCAGACTGTCTTTATCTTTCTCATCTTATATAAACTTCTGTGTGTTTGTCAGCTGAAGTCCATTTAAATCACACAACAATACTGATTGGTTCAATAACCCTATATGCTAACATGGTTAGGCCCAGTCTCCACCAATTAACTCATTCGGGTAAAAGGCCCAATCTCTGACCCAGGGTAACTTTTTCAGATTGGGGATCTAAATTAGAAGAGAGTTGCTGTATATGGGATAGCAGCTTTCATGGTTTAAATCCCCACAAAACAAAAGAATACTTGTACAAATTATCTATGAAATGCCAAGGAATTTGTTTAGGATAGAGCAAGCCTTGATTTTTACAAGTTATGGTGACAGTGCCCTCTACTGGTATACTACACAAGTAAGTAGAACGATGAAGTTAGATGTGTAGATTTGTAATAGCAGCATTGGCCCCTAGACGAACACATTCCAAGTCAGAATGCAAGATCTAAGCACCTGACAGGCCAGTCTCTGGTCTACACATGACTATGCTGGTCCCACACTAAACATACAATGCACACATCTCAAACTTAGATACACTACTATAAACCATCAAAAATACTAGTAATACACATGAACAGTCCCTTAAACATAATATTTCAGACACTGTCAATTCAGAACATTTGGGAGGAAGAACATTCCAGTTTGTGTCTGGTTTTCATGACTTGAGTCAATGAAGTAGTCCAGGATGGACTGCCAATATCTGAATATTTTTCTAACCTGCTTTATAGTGGTTTCTTTTATTGTGTTAGCTCATTGTATGTTCCCGTTAATGTTTCAGTTGACCTACTTTTCCCTACGTAGTTATAGTAAGTTGGAAGACTGGAGAATGGAGATGAATTAGAGGTCATCTGCATTTTTCAATAAGGCTAGAGAGGTTCTTAATGGAGGAATATGTTGTATTTGTAACTCTTTTCAAACTTTCCAGCTCACTTAATTGCTCTTATTTAAGTGCTCTTAAATGAGTCTCAGTAAGACATTTTATTGGCTTCCCCCATCTTACATTTCTCTGCATTACAGAAATTTTCTTTGACTAAAGTTAACACATTTCCACTCCCACTGCTTAAAAGTGAAACTAGTTTATTATTGAACTACCTCACACAAACTTTCTCTGCTTTCTTGAGTAAACAGAGCTAACCTTCACTATTGGATCTACCCTGAATGTGAAATAGAAAGTACATTTCCCTTTTTCAAAAGCCCAACCTATTGGCCAATGTTGAGACAATATCAGTAAGTATGTATCATGTATACTTCCCGTACGATGTTCATGTGTAATATATAGCTCACGTACAATAATGTACATCCAGAAAATTGTGTTAGATGTAAATTGGTGAATTTATTATTGTAGTCTGTTTTTTGTAGGTAAAAATAACTTACTAGTAATATCAGTCCATCCTTTACATTTTACAAAAGGAATAATTCTTGGTAAGCTTTGCATACAGATGAATTACTTTTGTAGGCCCAATATCTAGTCTATTTTTGAGAGTTCTTAAACTTTTAACTTTAGTAATAAGTTGAGCAAAACTGGCTGAATTCTCGTGATCACTCCTCCTGCCCCCTTGAAGTGCATTCTGTCCTGGGAAGTGTGGAGGGGAAGGACACACCTTTTAAATATGGAAAAATTACAGTTAGTTTTCTTTCCCACTTGCCACCCTCCCCTTCCCCATTCCTTTCTACCCCTTCCCAATAAGCCACTGGTGGGGAAATACTGAGATCATTGTGGTTTTTATCATCCATGCCATTGGTCATTACATGTGCACCACTGGAATGTATACATTGTTATCTAGTATGTCAATTGGTTATAATGATATTTTAAATAAAAAAGGATAAAAAGTTGTTTGATGACCACTCTGTAGTTAGTGTTTCTTCATTGAAGCTCTGGGGCTCTAAAGCACCATGTGGTGAACTTCATAGGACGGTTGCCATTTAATTTGTATTTGCCTCAGTCGTTTGGGAGAAGTCTCTTTTCATGGTGGGTATGTCAGCCTGCTTGAGCGCACAGCCAGACCTGTCCGTCGCTGGCAACCGGGGAATGCACCATCCGCTCCCTCTCCCACCCGTTTTGGCTTTCACAGCACTCCCCTTGCTCTCCCGAGGAGAGTTCCAGTGTTGGAGGTCAGAGTTCTGCCTGCTGGTGTGATTCAGGCTCTGATGCTCAGCTGTGGCCTCAGACTGCATCTCCCCCTCTGCCGCACTGTCCCTGCACTTGGCTGGGGAGAGAACCAAAGGCATTTCTGCAACTCCTCCTCCACCCTACTCTGTCAAGTGTCTTGTATGGGAACAGCGTCTCCTGTTGAGTGGGGAGAAGGCAGTGTGTCCTGGTCAGGGCTGGGGTGGAGACATTGGATCTGAAAGGCTGGCTCTGGGGGCAACTGGTTCCTCCTCCAGAGGAGTGACATAAGATGGCCGTGCAGCAGATGGAAGGTGGCACCTGCAGCCATGCTCCTGACCGGAGTGGACACTGGACACAACACAGACCCCGATGCCGGAGAGTGCGGTAAGGGTCTTTGGGTCCCTGCTCCCTCCACCTGCCACCACCTCTAACAGGCTTCCTGGGGCTTCCCTACTGCTCTCCCAGGCAGCGGCTCCAGGGGTTCAGGCTCCCATTTTAGGCAAAGTGGGCCCAGGGCTTCAGGTTTGTGCAAGGCCCATTCTCACACTCCAGCCTACTCTTTGGGAAGCCCAGACAGGAGATGGGACAGCAAGATCTGCCTCTTTGAGAGCTTCTCAAATATTCTGGGTGCCTGGCGCTCCCTGCACTGCTGAGAGAGATCCCTGTGACGGTGCCATGGGGAAGTCGGCATATGAAATCGGTTCCCTATCTTAATGAAACTTTCTGCTTTCTTCTCCCGCACACCCTGGAGAGTTATGTAAACTGAGAGATTTCTTACAGCCACTGCTGTATGTCTATAATGGGTAGAGCATTTCTAGAGGAAAAGGTGCCTTGTAAATGAAAGTTACCATTAATCTAGTCTGTGTCACTTTACTCAAGTGTATGGGGACAGCTGTATTAGCAGCATGTCCCCTGAGGAAACTCTGGTAACTTAATGATGACTGCTGTTTAATTGCAATAGCATTAGAATAAATTGTTAGCAGGTGCCACATAGTTGACTAATGTTGATAGCAGGTGTGACAATCTAAGCTCAGCCTGAGGCTTTGAGTATAGGTGGCTTTGGTTTTGGTGACATCTAGTCAAACAGTTCCAGATCAGAGAACGTATGTGGCTGTGGTCTAGCTGAAACGTTTTTTGCAACCAGCAGTGCTTTGAATCCTTGGAGATTGTAGCACCTGCTGTTGTTTTTATCATCTTTGCTCTCCCTTCAGCTGGGGATGGGGAGGGTGAAGGGGGCCGACTGGCATCTGACGAAGATCCCCTGTAAATTTCTGCTCAGATCTCAGTTCATTAACAAGCTGGGCTTCTCAATAAATCTAAAGAAATCTTCAACAAGAAGAGCATGTTTATCTTGCCGCTTTGTGTGGGGGGGGTACTTTGGTTTAGAGATTTTTTCCCCTTGAATATAACAAGTTCTGCTATAAAGATGGGGGATAGATTCTTGCATGAACAGTGAGCCTTGCTTTTTAGGGGAGGATCATAATTCTTCAAAGTATTAAACACGTTTAAAATGTCATTAATTCTAGGAGTGGCTATCAGTGTTCTAATGACCCTGCTTCACACACTAGAAACATCACAGGCAAAGAACTGAATAAAGCCGTTCTGCCACTGGCTGTCTCCATTCAGCCCTGGGACCCAAGAAACATTCCTCCTTCCTGAGTTGCAGCCACTTGGCTTTGTTACCTCCTGTAGATTCTTGTATTTGCTTCATTGTTAATTTCATTTCCTGCCTCTCTTCCCCTCCCCCATTGTTGCCTTTGTGCAGTTGGCACCTGTTAGGTGGGGGTGGAAGGGAGTTTTTGTGCATGGGATGGTGGTTAAGCAAAGCTGGGGGAGGGCGCACTCCATTGCAAGGGCAGGCCTGCATCTTTTGGAGTATTGTAATAATGAGTCTGTCCCTTGTGGAATAGGCTCCACTCACCGCTGGGCCAAAGCCAGATAATTCTTTGGGGGTTGTCCTAACACAGGATCATCACCTGCATGAAAGAGTCTTGATGACAAGGGGGCAAGGGGCAAAAATCTTCATGAAGCTGCTGCAGCCGTCAGGATGAAATAAACAGAGCTGTTGGCTCTTCTGCCATGTATGGATAACCCAAAAAATTGAATAAATCAGGCTGCCTCCTTAATGTCCCTGGAGCATGAAAGCCTAGAACAGCAGCCTCATGCAAACCTCAGTAGGAGCTAATCTTCCCCATGCTCCTGCAGGCTGTAGCTGTTTCTTTTTGTGGTAGGGGCTTGGCTCCAGTAGGCGCAGAGGAATGCGTGGGGGGAAAGAGCAAGGAAGTGGTAGTACCTCCCTAGGTGCAACACCACAGCTGTTAAATGGCATAGAAATGCACACAAAAAATGTCCCTCCTCTTTCTTGCGTGCTTTGATCAGCCGTGAATGCTAACATTGAAATTGTCATTGTTAAGCTTCAGTGTTAACACCCACTGATCAGCTCACCCTGCTAGCATTTCAAATGGCCTGCAGCCTCTGACAGACGCTGCTGCAGTGGCTAACCGTCAGACTGAACTGAACGTGTCCTGTGCAACCATAAGGGCTAGCAGTATCTTTACCAATCTAAAGTGCTGTATAGGAACTGGATAGTATGTATTAAACAGAAGTTTATGCACAAGGTAGCCAGCCGGGGACAGTATTGGCTCCCTGAATTGCCTTGTCAGCCCAGTCTGACTTACATGAAGTGGTGGTTTCACTTATGCAACAGAGGCTGCTAAGCAGGTGCCAAAGCATAATGGAGGGAGACTGGATGGCTGGGTGGTTCATGCAGGATTTGGGGGAGAGAGCTTCAATTCCCTGCTCTGCCATAGCCTTCCTGTGTGACCCTGGACAAGTCACTTAGCCTCTCTGTGCATCAGTTCTCCATCAGAGCAGTGTGAGGATAAATACATGAAGAACAGGGCAGTGCCAAGTTACTGCAGTGATGGGGGCCATAGATGTAACTTAGACAATTTGGTTGCTATGTCTGTGGATCAAGTGCCATAGAGACGAAAATCTCCAGCTCACATTACTGATCCCGTGAGCTGGGCAGATGCAATGGAGAGGTCTCCTTGAGTGTCGCTGGAGATGCTGGTATAATATGTATCTCTCCTGCCCTTGCTGTCTAGTCACAGTAGGGCTTGGTTTTATGATGGTGTTGTAGGAAAAGTGGCCTGAAATGACCAAGCAGCCACTTCAAATGTTACTTATACATTGACTTTTTTAAAAGTGGATCCTTATTCCCCTGGGTGTGTGTCAGTTGGCTTGAATGGACTCAGATGAAACAATTGCCAAGGCCCTGCAGATGGCAGGCTACTCCCAGGAACAAGCTGACAAGGCGTTCTAGCACTGCGCTAGGGCAGTGGCTGGGTGTGAAAAGGCCAGTGCTGGCAGGGGAGGGGTGTGTGTGACTGTTTACTTCAGCCATTTCACACTGAGCCATGTTTTGAAGCAGCAGTTCTCAACTAGGGGTACGCAGAGGTCTTCCAGGGGATACATTAAACTCATCTACATATTTGCCTAGTTTTACAATAGGCTACATAAATAGAGCCCTGAGTGGATACAAAATTGTATCTGGTCTGCAGCTATAAAGCAGATAGCTGCAGATTTGCAGGGCTCTATCCATAAAAAGCACTAGCAAAGTCAGTAGAAACGAAAATGTCACAAACGTAATGACTTGTTTATACTGCTCTATATACTATACATAGAAATGGAAGTACGGTATGTACATTCCACTTGATTTATTTTATAATTCTATGATGAATGAGAAAGTCAGCGCTTTCCCAATAACAGTGTGCTGTGACACTTTTTGGTATTTTTATGTCTGATTTTGTAAGCAGGTAGTTTTTAAATGAGGTGAAACTTGGGGGTACGCAAGACAAATCAGACTCCTGAAAGGGGTACAGTAGGCTGGACAGGTTGAGAGTCACTGTTTTAAAGTACCCACCGTGGTAAGAGAATCTGCCCTCCTGCCAGAGCCTAGCAAGGTTTGAGTGTTTTGCAGAGAAGTGGGTTTCACTTCGCTTAGCTCATGTGCCACACGTTCGTCACTGTGGGAAGAAAGGGGACTGATGGGATGGATGTGCATGTAGGTGCACATGAACCTAAAGAAAACAAAGCAGCATGGCTTAGCTACTGGAGAAGAGCCTGCCTTTGCTGGTTACAGTGGGGAAGATTGGGATGGCACAGGGACAGCTAAATGTAATCCATCAAGACTGTGAACAGCCTGTTAGGGAGAGGAAACTCAAGAGCGTGATAGACCCTAGGCAGCTCTGAAAATCCTCCAGCAGCCCCAGCACTGTAACTCTAGCCCAAAGCATCCCTTGGGCCAGCTCACCCAGCCCTCATGGGGGCTAGTGGTGCTGTCCCCCCCTCCTTTTAGCCTCCTATGCTGCCAATTTCTCCCATGCGGGCTGCTGAAACTGTGGGGCAGAACGGAGTGAAGAATGGTGCAGGTTGCACCCAGCCAAGGGGGGCTCATGACATAGCAGGTGAAGTCAGTGCTAAGGTGCAGGCTGCACATGGTTTTGGGGTCAGGACACACAGTGTTGCACTATGGGGCAGTTGAGCCCCTCTCAGTATCGGTTGAAAGCTGGTGCTAGTGACCTTTCTCCATGTCTTAGCAGAGGGGTGTGTGTGTCTGATAACCTCCTTGTTGAGTGCTACAGACACACCCAGGACTGAATAGATTTGTCACCTCTAGCTCTGAGAGTGGTGTTCCCCAGATGAGAACTGGGGTAAATTGGCAAGGAACAGAATCTTTCTCTCTCATATTAGAGCTGTTGAGAGAATAGAAGCTTTCAAGTACTAGTGTGTCAGTCAGGTACCTTTAGGCCTACATTCAAAACTATTCTACTGCTGTAACTGCTCTGGTAGTTTCCATGCGGTGGCCTTTAACTAACAGGGGCTTAGTCATTTAAAACAGAGCAGCAAGGAGGTTAGAAATCTCTCTCATCTCCCCATGTTGAGCTCCATTGCTGCAAATTGGTAAAGTCATTATTTCAGAACAAAGAAGAGAGAAAAGCCTGGCTACAGAGGATGCTTGTGGCCAGATGTGTTTAGTTCAAGCTCCGGGGGGGTTGCCCCTCCAAGGTATTTATTAATCACATATTTATTAAGTCACATTTGGTGCAAATAATATTTAGAGTCATAGTTTGGGCACGGCAGGGATGGGGGGGGATTAGAAATCGGGTGACTAATGAAGTGTCAGACTTTCAAATGCCTTCAAAGTGCTTGTCGGCTAGTTTTGCAAAACACCTTCATAAAATAATACAAAGAACAGGAATAAGAACTTTCACCAAGCAGATTTTTAAACAAATTTCATGAAGAATGGAAAACCCACCAAGTTCAACTTGATTCATCACATGAGCTAAACCTGCTGCCATGCTAGCAGTATCGTCTCCTCCACAGGAACTGGCGGGCTCCTTCCGCTCCAGCCTGCCTGCAGCTCGCTTAGGCCATGGCAGCAGTGGTGGGAGCATTACTGTTGTCCCTGGACCAGCAAAGGGTGGCACAGTAAAGCCAAAGACAGTGACATGACTGCAGTCACAGAGTTGTCCCTTTGACATTAGGAAAGAGAGGCCCAGCCATTTGCAATCTAGGGTCTACAGTTTCAAGCATTGCCTTTAGCGGTCAGTTTCCCTGATAGCCCAAATACTAGAGCATATGTAAACAAAACAACATAGCAAAAATCCTTAAGAGCAGGGACTCTCTGCAAAATTACTCATGATGCATGAGTAACCCAGAACAAAATGACTTGTGCTGGAATTAAAAAACACGGTTGATGGTGTACTTCTGCTTCCTTTACTTCGGCACTTTAGCTCCCCGGCTTGCAACAGTCAAATTTCCTAATGTCAAAAAAAACTCTTCCATTTCTGTCTGCAGGAGCTGGTTTCTCTTTTCAGCATCTTCACGTGCACGCTCTGAATTCCTCAGTTTGATCTCCAGCATAGTGTATTTCTTTCGCTCCTGGTCCAACTCCTCTTCTAATCTTGTCACTCGTTTTCTCAGTTCAGCGCTTGTTTCTTCAATTCTTAAAGCCAAGAGAAAACAAAGAGCATTTTAGTCTCTTGACAACTGCTACACTGATTGCCATGAAATATACAAGTTTGCCATATGACAGCCAGAACAAACCATCAAAAGTGGGGCTTGTTATGGAGGTACCAACTATTAACTCGGGAGGTAACGTTGAGTTGAGTTTTGTATGTTGATCAATGGTTCAACCTCTCTTTTAGGTATAAAAAAGATAGCGTGTTCTCCCCAAACTTGCAGCACTGGCTTTGTGGGCAGACAATTGACCTTCTGATAATTTACAAATCAATCCATTCACTAGTTAGAGTTAAAATTAATTTAAGCAACTCTCCTCTTTCTTCATGCCATTGCTTTTCCTTGTCAAGATACCCTTTAACTTAGAGGAATGTAACCTGCATTGGAAACCAGGAGTTCTAGACTCACTTCTACTAACTGGCATTATTAAGTCTATGCCCTTCAGAACCCTTATTAAGCAAAGACTCATAGCACTCTACCCACTGATGGGAATGGAGCCCAAATCCCGTTCAATTAGAGCATGCTTCTGCATGAGAGGCAGCATGACTGTCTCTAACATGGGCCAGCTCATGCACAGGTCACCCACTGCTGACTTGTGCATAGCATAGGGCGTTATGTATCTCCCTCTGGTGACAGGTTCATCTGAGATAAAATCCTGGTGCTTCTGACCAAAGTAGGTCTGAGTATTGCTCCAGTGGGTGAAACATATGCTTTAATGCTGGAGTTTAAATCTCGTTGATGGGGAGAGTTGTTGCAGTTGTGCATAATAAATTTTTATTTTTTAAAGGCAAAAATAATTCTAGGAAGTTACATTTTAAAAAAAACCTACATCAGAAGAACATTGATGTTGCAAAGTCAAGCACTCAAAAGGGCTAGATCTGGGGTCTCAAACTCAAAATGACCACGAGGACCACATGAGGACTAGTGCATTGACCCGAGAGCCGCATCACTGACACCATCCCTCGCTGCCTCTGACCCTGCCCCCACTCCACCCCTTCCATTAGGCCCCACCCCTGCCCCACCCCCTCCATTAGGCCCCGCCCCTGCCCCACCTCTTCCCACCCCTTCCCTGCCCCATTCCAACCTCTTCCCCAAAGTCCCCACCCCAACGCTGGCCCCAGGGGGTGCAGGGTGCAGCGGGGGCTCAGGGCAGGCTGTTGAGGTGCAGGAGGTGTGCAGGGGGCTCAGGGCAGGGAGTTGGTGTGTGGGGTGCAGGAGGGGTGTGGGATATGACAGGAGGCTCAGGGCAGGGGGTTGGGGTGCAGGATGTGGCAGGGGGTTGGGGTGCAGGAGGGGTTCAGGGTGCAAGCTCCAGCCCAGCGCCGCTTACCTAGAGTGGCTCCGGGGTGGCAGCGGCGCGCACTGGGGCCAGGGCAGGCTCCCTGCCTGCCTGCCCTGGCCCCCGGCCCCAGGCCGCTCCATTCCAGGAAACAGCTGGAACCCTGTCCCTGCAGCCCCTGGAGGAGGGGGAGGGGGCTCAGGGTTCCGTGTGTGTGCTGCTCTTGCCGCTCCTCCGGGTACCTCCCACGAAGCTCCCATTGGCTGCAGTTCCCAGCCAATGGGAGCTGCGGGGGGCGGTGCCTAGAAGGAGGCAATGCAGGGCCACCCGCAAGAGCCCCGCGGGCTGCGTGTTTGAGACCCCTGGTCTATATAGCTTTAATTCAGCCCCCTTGCGCTTATCCAATCTTTAATTACATGACCACCGATTATTTTTTTCCTACAGCACGCCTGCCTCATTCAGTGCACAGGATGGCCCTGGCTCTGCAAATGGAGTAGATATATATATTTTTTATCCTCATTATTTAACATGGCTCCATTCATCAATCACACTACACCATCCACATCTTGCTCAGAACACAAACTAAATACTTTCCTCAGTGGTATTTCTAGGTTATCTGGCACTAGAGTAGAGCAGTGCTTCGCCAACATCAATGAACTTCTCTTCACAGCACCTGTAGCTCAGGTAACAGAAGAGTTCTGAGACAAAACCATAGGGACTTATCTAAGGCTACACCATGAACCAACAGCCCAGACAGGACTGGAACTCAGAACCTTGTGAATCTAAACCCTGTGCCTCATTAGGGTCAGGCAAGCACAATGCTTGGTTTTGGGATCATTATAACTGTCACCATTCAGGGTACCTGCACCTGTATTTCCCCTCAGTGCTGCAATACGGCACCCACTCTCATGCTTCCGGCTCCCCAGTTGTCACCTCTGTGAGGGGGAGACCTGCATCTCGCTCCCTGCTCACTGAGGTACTTCCAGGCTGCAGAGACAGGCTGCCCAAGCACATCTGTTTTCTTTCTCTTCAGAGATTGATAACAGGGATTGTTAATACTTCAAGGGTACCACACAGTTCTTCCTGTGCAAGCCTATTTTATTCTTAAAATAAAAGCACTACAGAGAAAGAATATTAAAAGCAATAGAAGAACCTACACGCATGCTAATAAGGTTACCAGAGAACTCCCCACCACGACCCTATCGGGGGCTCTGGCAGGAGCAGTCTTTCAACTTTCATCCTCAGGGTTTCCTTTGTGGTCACAAGTTCATCACAGCTTCTGCTCAGAACAAGTGTAGTCCACCCTTTACACAGTCCAGGGACTCTGATGTGGAGTTTCCAGGAGCAGGTGATTAGTATCAAATGGGTTTTCTTTTTGAGCCCAGCTTCAGAAGGGTAGAGTCCAAGTGGGTCATTTGCATGGCCCTCACCCCCCCCCCCCGTTCCTAAGAAACCCACTTTACATACATAGGACCATCAAAGGACTTTCTGGGACAAACATTTACATTAGTCATGTCCCTAGAAAAATTACATACAATCCACCACTACCACCACGAACAAGGGCATTTTCAACACCAAGGCACCCAATCCAAATCAATAAAGCTTACCTGAATTCCAAACGGTTTGTCGAGGATATATAGGATACTGTCAGTCTGGCACAACAACAGCCCTATGATGTTTTTGACCCCTAAGTTATCACCACATTCTCTGAGCCTTAACTCCATCTCCACCACGTTTGTGTCTGGGAACACAGTGGCCTATCAGTCATCTACCTAGTAGACTGCAACCCAGGTCTCCTTATGAGTCTTCTTCGTAGCTTCATGTGTGAGTTCAACTCCAGCCAAGTCTCCTTGGGTTGGATGAACATTTGCTCACAAGTATCTTTTGAATGCTCTTCTATGCAAAGAAACAAAGCTATTTCAAAGCAATTCCATCACCTCCAGCTAAGGATCACAGTCTTGCTACCAGCACCTCCCATCAAAAATAAAGGACAGACCTAAGAGTTGGCCAGGACACTAGTCTTCCTCCACAGCCAGATGATGGCCAACCACTGGCACCCTTTCTGTTCCCTACCCAGATGGCCACAGAACGCCGCCAGCTTTTCTGCCACCCTAGGTGGCGGAAGGGCCCGCCCCGAAATTCCACCCCTCACAGAGGCAGCGGAAGGTCCCGCCACCGAAATACCGCCGTGGTCACCGCCCCCCAAATTGTAGCGCCCTAGGCGACCACCTAGGTCGCCTAATGGGTTGCGCCGGTCCTGGATGGCCCCAATGCCAAGGAAATCTTGCAGGCCAATCCCTCACTTGCTGAACTGATTGAGTGCTGGCCCGCTGGAGGGTCCTACAGTTATAACTGGAAATATGCACCTATGTCTTGAAACAAATAATGCTCCAAACCAAGGCAGTTCTCCTACACCCAGCAGATTGGCTAGGGAAGAAAATCCAGCATCTGCTTTGGAAAAGCCTTGGAGAATTTAGAAGAAAACTAAAACCTTAGTACAGAATTTTTAACCATCCTATAGAACTGACTTGCCAATTAACGCCTCCCCCCGCCAGCCCATGCGATTCTATAAGACAGCTGAACAGCCTGCGCTAAGAGTCTCATTCTCCACCGAAATTCTATAGGTTCTGAGGGGTTTACAGAAATTACTCTATTACATTTATATGCAGCCCTATAGCTTTCATCCCTATTACATTCTGCAGGATGTTTCCATTAGGAAAGACTCTTTCCTGGAGCTGCTGCTATGCAGTCCAGTCTGTAGCTGTCCTTTTACCACCTGGCATTCTAACAGAGGGAGCCTGAGCATTATAATACCCGCAAATTGCTCTGGAACAGATTGCTCACAGGGCAGCTATAAAACCTGCCTCCTTCTGACTGAGAGAGACAGAGAGAAACCAGGCAAATAGCAGCCCTTCCATCAACAGGGACTCCTGCCCCTGCCCCCGCCTCTGCCCCAGGCAGTGAGTTCACACACTCTCAGCTTCTCTTTGCCCCACAAAATAAAAGCGCAGAGTCCTTCATTAAAACATAGCTGGCTCCTGAGATGGAGCGCTGAAAACCACACAAGCACAGCCACAGATCCACAACCACCAGCCAGGAAAGAGGTTTTTAGACAAATGGATTTAATCCATCACTTTTTCCTGAATAAATAAAGCAAGGAGCCAAAATTCATCTAATTTGGCCAGGCTGCATGCCCACTTCTGCAAGCATGAGCCACTGCCCCTGCAGAAATGGGCACCCAGCCATGCAAATGGTTGCAGATGCACTCAGAATGGGGGGGGGCACTCAGTCACCCCCAGACCCAGGCAACAAGGCCAGCACTCAGTGTAGACTGGCAGACAGTGCTTTGACGCCACATGCAGCACTGAAGAGTGAAGTCAGCTCAGCCCTTTCCCAGGGGAGTTGTGCAAGGTGAGTTAGCACTGCCTGAGGTAGCATTCACTCCTCTACCTTTACCTGAACTTTGGTCTCTGCAGTGGGGGAATGTGCTGCTCTGGGTGGCTGTTTTCCCCCATTCCCAGGCAACCCCCCATTTTTCCCACCTCACCGGGTATCCACCCAGATGTTTTGCAGAGGGGACATGTGGAAGAGTTAGATTTTGTTCCTCCCACATACCTGGGGCCAACTTCATCTCAGTCACATGTGCACGAGTCCCTTGGATTGGGATGTGAGCTGTGTGCAGCCTGCTTGGTTTTGAAAGGAAAACTCTCTTCAAAGATGGGATGATTATAAAACGCTCCAGCTTGGAAACCAGCATGGGCAGAGTCCTAGTAACCCGGGTCCCAATCTGTAAGGGACCTGGTGGCTGAGGAAAGCAGGCCGCACTAAAGAAGAAATTACCATTTTTCTGTGCATCTCTGAATGGCTAAATCACAATGCATAAAAGAAAAGAGCAAAGCCAGATTTCCAGTGAAGGGAACATCTGAGCAAATACCTCCCAATGTGTGTGTACACACACCCCACCTCACCACCACCGAAGGAATCCCACTGGGAAGAACTCCCAACCCACTTCCATACCCCAACCCTCTCCCACAAAACAACTTCAACCACTCTCAGACTTGTCCTGAGCTGCTGGGGGCAAGTGGTTGCCAGGCGGCACATTCTGGGGCACAGATTCAGACAGTTTGACCCTGTGTCTCTGAAAGCCAGTGGAAGGCCTTTGCCATTTGCTTGCAGAAAACACCCACCTTATTATGTTCTCAAAACCCTCCCCCCAACTTATTAACGAGGAAGACAGATATTTATTCTGAACATTAAAGCAGCAGCGACGTAAATGACTGCCATCCCGTCTTATAGAGAAATCCCAACGCGGTCAGTGGGCTAAACAGATACGAGAAAGGGGCACTATGGGAAGATCCCAATTCAGACTAGACGGCCCTAAGAGAGACTGGTGGAGCCAGTGAGCTACTTGTAACACACAAGAAACAATGAAAAACAACAAACACCTTGACTTAACACTGCACCGTATCTAGACCAATTTCAATCCGTGTGTTGTGTGTGTGAACAGCCCCGAGCACAATGGGGGCTCCTGGCCCATGACTGGGGCTCCTACCCACCATATACATAATAGCACAGTGAATAAAATACAGTACTGTGTTACTTTATACTTCTCAAACACCCAGGGCCCTACCGTTTACAAAAATGCAACGCCAACTATTTCTGGACCTACCAGTGTCTAACACCAGACACCTGAACATATAGCTGTGGTTCAGCAGGGCCTGCTGGGTGACCTTAGGTAAGTCACTGCACTGCTCTGTGCCTCAGTTTCCCCATCTGTAAAACCAAGATAATGATGCTTATCTCCATTGTAAAGTGCTCTGAGCTCTACTGACGAATGTGCTACATAAGAGCTAGGTGTATAGAACAATACTGCACCATCCATCAGCCTGTGTCTCTTGTATGCAACAGCACATTCAAGTCTTGTAAACTCCCCGATGTATTTCACATGCATGCTTACCTGTGTGTTTACCTGCAAATATCCCTATAACACACACACAAATTTTAAAACACCCTTCTGATCCTGCAGCCCCTACATTTGTGGGTCCTGAGAGACTCTCTCCTCGAGGCTGCAGGAGGTTTGTATGTGCAATGCCTGTAGGACTGGGCTCTAAATGAGGGCTACATTTTCAAACCAGCATGTGAATTTGCTCAGGTTTTGCCCACTCCCACATCTGCCTGCAAAGACCAGGTGACCAAGCACCTGGGTACCTTGTTTGAGCTCCCAAAGACCTGTTCACGGGCACAGGGACGGGGCACTCATGGGTGTGTTTGCTCAAAGAGGAGACCCAGCACAGAATGTCTAAGCTTTGAAAGTACAAGAACTAAGTTGTAAGTAGGGCTGGTCTAAAAATTGCAACACATTCCCGTCGGCAAATGAGGCTCTGTCAAAAATCACATCCCCCACCCCCCAAGAAAAGATGGATTTTGGTGGAATTTTCCACTGGTAAAATCTTAACCAAACCTTTTGTTTCAGGCTGGGCTGACAGTCTTTGCATCAGGGTGAGCTGTCTCAGTGCCTCATGGGAGTAGTAGTTCAGGTGCCTCATGCCCTCTTTCCCCTGCTGTGGGCTGGGCTCTCCAGCTGGACTACATCTCCCATGAGGTCAACAGACTGAACTAAAATCCCTCCAATGTCCACTGAAAATGACAAAACACTGGAATTTCCCACTGGATGGAAATCTCATTTTTCAGCTGTGGCTAGTTGTAGGAAATTAGAGATGGGAGCAAAGCTGGAACCAGCCACCACTGAGCTTTGGGGGAGATCAGATCCAGATCTGTATCTAAACTACACAGCCCCTTCTCCTAAGCCAACCTCAATCCCCACATTGCAGCTCAGGCCCACTGCGACAGAGCTGGGTCTATTCCCTGTTTGGAGCAGGATTGCAACACTCAGACAAGGACAATGCTGCAGTGAGAGATCCCCGGCACAGCTGACAGTCGTGTTACCTTTTGATACTAGACTCATACTCAGTCCTCTGTTTGCTCAGTCCTGTCTTTAGCTCTGAAACCAGGCTCTGCAGAGCCCTGGAGCATCTGGCCGAGTCTTTGGAAGCAGCCGCCAGGTCACTCTGCTCGCTGCAGCTGCTGATGCACATTTCGAACCTCTCCATGCTGTTCTCCAGGTCCACAGTCTTGACCTCGCTCTGCGACAGCGAGCCCTGAGTTGCCCATTCCGTTCTGAGGGAGCTTAAAGCAGAGGAGTCACTGGCCCGGCAAGCCGGGCAGCTGCTGACAGAATCAACGACCGAGATCTCACAGGACGAGGTGGACCAGGCGGTGCTGGCGATGCTGTGTGCACTCAGGGAGAGGCTGGAGGAGGGGACGTTGTCGTAGGTGGAGAGTCTTTGGGATGAACCTGAGTCTTTCACCCGCTCCCCAGAGGACGTCCGGCGGTGGCCTCGGAGAGAGTACAGTCCATTCATCAGCCAGTTCCCGCTAGAGGATAGATTAGGAATGTCTAAGGACGAGCTACCCAGCTTGGGGCTGACAGACCTTGCCCCCTGTTGCCGGAAGGAGTACTTCCAGGTGGGTAACGTCTGCACCCTCTTGCTGGGGCTGGTGGCAGGCTGGGTGGCTTTGCTGCTGTGCTCCTGAGGGGCGTTTTTCGCCAGCGAGCTGGGCACGGCGTCCGGCGCCATGGCACTGCTAGAAGGCAAGTCGGCAGGGCTGGGGACGCTCTTCTCCGACCTGCTGTCCTCCCCGTCTTCCTCGGAGATCCACTCCACCATGCTGCGCTGCAGCACGGAGCGGGCTTCGGGCTGAGCCCCGGCCGCATCGGCCTGCGAAATGGCAAAGATCTGTCCGTGTTCACTTATTAACACTGTCATCAAGTGCTGGACCAGCGACGTGCCTGCAGGGAGAGAATGGAGGCAAGAACTTAATGTGAGAAACGAGAAGGCCTTGGATATTCATTTCCTGTCTGTAAGAAACCCCAGGCTCTCCAGGGCAGGGGCATGTCCTTGAGCACAAGCACAACGGGTCTGTATAAGCAATACATAACAAGGACTCTGACCACCTTTCCTTCAAGGACTGCAGAGGGGGAGTGAGTATCATTGTTCCCGTTATTAGAGGGGGGGGAAATGAGGCACAGAAGACCCTGATCCAGACCAGTTACCACAATACAGATTATTAACTCCACTCTCCCCTGCCCTAACCACTACACCATGCTTCCTCGCCCGTTAAGCAAAGAATCCTGGAGAAAGCTTGACACCAGTGTAATTTCCTGTACATTCGTTAGGTGGATGGGTGGATTCCCATATGCAAGCAGAACAAATCGCTTTCTGCGCCATTCAATCCAACTATCTGTTTCTATACTTCTGTTTCAAATGGAATTGTTGTAAGCTTCAATCCTGTCCTGAAGTGTTAAATACCTGTGATGTCCCAACCTTGGAAGTGGCTTTCAAGATAGACAAAAGTCACCCTGAGTTTACATATCAGTTTGGAAAGTGCCATAGAAATAAGATTTTTAAATTACTGGGGTAGATTCATTTTTGGTGTAACTCTATTGACTTAAGTTGAGTTACCCTACTTTAACTCATCAATGTTGAGCAAAATACTCTACGCAGACTGTCAGAGAATTAACAAATGGCCAATCCATAAGTGAGTTCTAACTGTTTTTTCAGCAGTGAAACAGAAACTAGTAGAAAACGCCATTCATCAAGCCCGTGAAAAAGTATTTTCTACCACATAAATTAGACAATCACGATCAACAGCAATTTCATTAATTACAGTTTATCTTTTTTGTTGAAGATCAATAAAGAATAAAGCCAAAATTTTCAAATATGGACACTTAAAATATATACTTACAACTATATTTACAGGATCTCAATAAGAGGTCTGATATTTTGAGATGCTGAGATCCTACAACTTCTATTGAAGTCCACAGGAGATGGGAGAACTAAACACTTATAAAAACTGGACTGCTTATTTGGTTCCTAAATACGGATTCAGGGCCCCAACTTTAAAACGGGGCTTTTCTTGAACACAGAAACCAAAATGTTTAAATGTATATTGTGAATGGCTCAGAGTATTTCTCTGTATCTCTTTACAAGACAGAACATAAGAATGGCTATACTGGATCAGGGCAATGGTGTATCTTGTCTAACGGCAGCCAGTGCCAGATCCCACTTTACTCCTTGAGCTGAAGAGCAGCTATATTAGACAGAATCCCTTCCCCCTTCCACTATTTATATCTAACTGATCTTTTGCCCTCAATGGACAGTAACATAAAGCATCGCTTATGCTGTCTGCTTAGGACTCGACATGTCTTCTTTCCAAAGATGGTCACAGGCTGCAAAGTTTAGAGCGGGATCCCAGCTTTTCTCCAGGTTGGAGATATTTGAATCCAGGATTCTGGTTCAAGTCAGTTGCTAATTAGTTCATTTGACAGTTTCTGAGAAGAGTGCACCTGAGTAAGGAACCTGTGGAAATGCACATACAGTATAAACACTATGATCAGCAGCTGAACTCCATAGCATGCCCTGGGTCATCACCACCTGGGCCCTCTGGCTCTAAGAGCACAGGACTCAGCTCACTGACCTAGGTCTGTCAGCTGAGGCAGGTGATGCTGTAGCAGGAGATGCTGTAGCAAGGGCTCATCGTCCTCTGTGTGTGGTCCAGCCACCACTAGAGAGTGGCAGAGCACCCCAGTGAGTGGGGGTGGGTACAGCTATACACCCATGTGAGCTGGGGGAATAATCCCAACATGTGCAGCTCAAAACAAAGCACAAGGTCTCAGCGACATTCCCCTTTAAGGTAAGTGTCAAAGTTACTGCTAGTAATATGGCCTCCGGCCACTAGCAGGCAGTGGTATTTGTCACAAACACCAGCTGAAGCTGGGCCCATAGCCGGCTGAGCCTTAACCTCTTAGGCCTCCATTCATAGATTTAAGGCCTGAAGGAACCATTGTGGTCATCTAGTCTACTCCCCTGTGTAATACAGGCCCGAGAACTGTCCCCTGCTAATTAAGCAAGGAAGCTCATTTGGACCTTAGACTAAAGGCAGCTCCTTTTCAGAGGATGAGAATGGCTGTTTTATCCGATGTCATTCCATCGCACGTAACATGCTCCACTGACATTCTTGGAGCCCAGTCAGTTACCAAACAGAGCAAGGAGCAGATTTCAGCCACTTTGCAATTAGCATCTCGGGGCCAGACGTCGGGTGGCGCCAGCAGAACTGCCCCCTGTTGCTCAGCCCCTGTATTGGTTGCACGTCTTGCTGAGATGTGCACCACTGTGATTGTACTGCAGTTCCATGGAGCAGGAGGCTGTTCCCCGGCTCTGAAGCAGAACTGCAGCCAGAGAGAGCGCCCGAGACCTTTGCTGGCCCTTGAGGAGGTGGATATTTCAAGCTTCGGATGCTGAGACATGCTTCAGAGATGGGGAATGTTATATGTTCGTGACAGAGACTTGTACAGAGCAGGGAGCGTCCAATGCCATACAGCTCATTGTTTTCTGATTAGTTTTATGCAGCCTCGTACTTTTTTGAAGAATAGTCTCTCTGATTTCTCTCGGGGGGTCTAATAAAAGCAGAGGTCTGGGTGAGGAGATGATGTAGTTGACAGTATACGTTACAGGTTTCTGTAAGAGGGTGGGTGTAGTTTACATGCTGAGAAAGGCATAATGGGAGGGAGAAGTGGCAAAAACAACCAAGAGGAAGGTGTAAAAAGGTGCACGGTACAGCCGAGATGGCCTGATGTACACTGATTTACTGCTGAGTAACAAACACTGCCATTTACCACCATATCACATTGCCCCTGAACTAGGCTGAAAGGCTCACAGAATATGTTTGGATTGCTATGATTGCCCGACATTCCAGAAATGATGGTTGTTATAAATGCTTTGACCCAAGTCCCCATTTCTTGGCTACCAATGTCCAGCATCCCCAATTGAAGGGGCTCAACTTCAGAAGAAAAATGACCAGATCATCACAGAACAAGAAAGAATTCAAGTGGGGAATTGCTTTTTAAGTGATGATCACTGCCCAGTGCTTTGTGCCTGGGTTTCTCAGACAAATCCTTGGATCATCCTTCATCAAACAACAGATTTTTATAACTCCCCAACATGACTGGTTCCCCTTAGTCCTGATCCCAGTCATGAGAAAGGGAAAGTATTCTGCACCCCAGGAGATCTGCACTTACATGGACTTGAATGGACAAATCTGCACTCAGTTCAAATGGCAATGAAAATGTTATTCTTGCAATTATGCATTTGTACAGCAAGGTCTGCATTAGGGGTGTGATTCGGGTGGTGTGAACAGTAAGGCTAAAACTTACAACAAACGAGCAGCCACTTTATAGCAGTCACTGTGCTGTTCTCAAAGTTTCATGGAAACAGGGAGAAAACTCAGATCTTCCTGCTCTGAAAACACAGGCCTCTACCACTGGAGCTACACAGTTGAGTAGTTCCGAATACATCCGCTAGCGGGGCAGGAGCACACACACACACACACACAATATAGACCTGTCTGCACAAGCCATCGTTGCACTGGCTGGACCGACATCAGTTACTGTGGCTCTCACACAGTCAATATTGCCTCATCTGTGTTGAGATGATACCAGCCACACTGCCCCCCTAGGAAGAGGCCATGCCTCGGAAGCCTATGCCCAGAGCATGTGGAGGAGGAGAAGTCTGACTCCCCCACCACATTCTCCCTAGCTCAGCAATCCCTGCAGTAGATTGCAAGAAGGATGCCCAGCATGCAGTGAAGAGGCAGCTGCAGCGCAGTCAGATCTCTGTGGGTATTTTTCTATTTCTAGCTAAGCCACAAACACCGATTTGTTTCTGACACATCAGGAATAGAATTTTTCTAGGGATTTTGTAAAGTTTAAGATTTAAGACTTTTAAAGGAAAGTTGATCCAAAACTATCAGTGATTTTAAACTGATGCCCTGGGTCTTGCCTTTGTCCCACATGTCCTCGGCACAGCAAGCATTTTGGAAGCCCACGCTTGGAAGGGTACATCTACACTGCAGCTGGGAGGTGTATTTCCAGCTAAGATGGACATAAACGCACTATCTCTGCTCAAGCTAGTGCCTAAAAACAGCAGTGGCACAGGTCGGCTGAGTCCAACCCTGTCCAACCCCCGGGCACATACTCCCATATCGCCTCATTGCAGAGGTGATACCGGAGGCTATTCCAAGTGCTAAGGGAAATGGTATGCCCCATGCACAGGCATTGACTGAGAGGATGCCCAGCTTGCTGCCAATGATGGCTCCCCCCATGACATAATCTGCAGTGTACATGACAAATGCATCTCATTTCTGGCAGTGGCATTTTACAAGCGACTTCCCCGTGGGTCCAGAACATGGCCCCTCTCCATAACGAGAGAACCTACCTTCCATAATGGTGACTGGATCTTCCATTTTGGGCCGCAGTATATTTGGGCCGAACACCGTGGCGAGGTTCTGGACGCTCATCTTGTTCACGCTGGAGTGAGACTGAACTTCATCGAGGAATCTTCAGGAGCCCCCCCAGAAAAAAAAAACCCAAGCGAGAGAGAGAGAAGAGTAAATGGCACATGAAACCTTCCATCTCACTAGTTCCTTGTGCTCCTGTAGCCACCAGTTGTCTCTCGTCTTAGACTGTAAACTCTGTGAGCAGGAGCTGTCTGGATCGGTTCATACAGCACTTAGCGCAGTGGGGTCTCGGGCCATAACTGAGGCTCCTCAACGCTGCCACAGAACAAATCTATAATAATAGTAACTCCAATTCCACCGGAACGTGGGAAGAGGAAAGGGCCAGCGGTCACTAGTGCTGCAGACATGGGACCATTTAATCTGCATGAAAACTGAGGTTCTTTCCTTTTTTAACAAGGATCCACAATACACCACATCACCTGTAGGCGAATACTTTCACAAAGCAACCAGTCGGTATCTGACCTCTCGGTCCTCAAGGGAAACTGAACCAACACCTTCAAAAGACAAGCTTGGGAACATCAATTCATAACTCTGCTACACATCAAAAATCAGACATTTTATAAAGACACTGGATTTATGGCTCATTACAATAATCTGTAACCCCCTCACCTTCCTTTGTCCTACAACTGTAGCAGTGTTAACTGACCACTTCACTTTGAATGGGCTGTTGCAATGTGTGTTAACTCCATATCTGTCTAGCTGTGACTCACTTCGGCTGCTGTACACTACAGAGTTAGGGCAGGTCTACACTACAAACTTGCATGTAGTGCTTCTGGTGAAGACACTCTAAGCCGTTGGCTTATTAACTCCAGAAGTTGTGTCGGCAGGAGAAGCTCTACACAGGGGTTAAGGTCGATATAACTATGTCGCTCAAGGGCGTAGATTTTTCACAGCCTTGAGCGACAGTTATACCAAAGTAAGTTGTAATGTAGACCTGGCCTTAGGTTGACACAAAGCAGCTTACATCAACCTAACTATGAAAGTGTCTACACCTAAATTTCGCAGCCGCCGCTGTACCTGTCCAGCTACGCCAATTTAATAACTCCATCTCCATGAGCAGTGGAGAGTCAATGTAGCTAGGTTGACACAGTGTTATCTATGCTGCATTACTTATGTCAACTGTTATTGGCTTTCAGGAGCCACCCCACACTGACAGCACTGACACAATACAAGTGCTCCTGGTGAGGATGCGCACTGCCAACACAAGGAGGAAAGTGTAGACCACACACAAGCGATGTAATTAGTGTGGTGGCGGTATGCCGACCTAAGTTAGGTCAACTTAATTTTCTAGTGTAGGCATGGTCTGAGTACCTTTCCCAGACCTGAGGAAGAGCTCTGTGTAGCTTGAAAAACTTGTCTCTCTCACCAACAGAAGTTGATCCAATAAAAGACATTACCTCACCCACCTTGTCTCTCCAGGAATTCACAATGGCAATTTGAGCAAATTCCTGCTGTTTCTTATCCAGGAACATGGCAGAAAGGAGCAAACCATTCCCAGAAGAACTGCCATTCTCACTGCCCCCCCATATGTTTTTAAATCATCTGAGAAAAAATACCATCCATTTTTGTGGAAAAGGGTGAAAAAATTGAGGTGAAATGGCCCCCCCAAAAAAGTCTTGCTATCTTACAGTACGGGGGAGGCAGAACTTATTGATGCTCTGTTTAGACTTTAGAGAGACAAGGTGGATGAGGCAATATCCTTTATTGGACCACTTTCTGTTGGTGAGAGAGACAAGCTTCCGAGTGTGCACAGAGCTCTTCCTCAGGTCTGAGAGCCGTACTCAGAGTGTCATAGCCACATAGAAGGTGGAACAGATTGTTTAGCCTAAGTAGTTAATTAGACTGTAAGTACTTTAGTACAAGATCTGTCTGCTCCTCTGCATTAGCACAGTGTCTAGAGCAGTGGGGACCCAGCCTTGGTTTGTCCCTAGGCACTACCATAACAAACATGATTAATACTGAGGCCTGCTGGCAGGGCAGTGGGTGAGGGCAGCCTGTCCTCGACATAAACCAAGTGCTTTGTTTATCAGAGCTGCATGAGCATTGAAACCACACACATTTTTAAAGCAGGCGTTTAGTTATATGGTGCAAATCGGCTCATTAAATAATTTGCATAGGATGTCACATGAAGCCGAACAAAACTTGGCAGCTCTGGAGTTCCTGGTGCTAATTAATGCCACTTACTTGCATATGTATTTGAGGAGGTTGTAGTTTGCCTGAGGCAGGGTCTTCACCTGTTTAGCCAGCTCTCGGGTGCCCTGCGGGAGGAGACAAACAATGAGAATAGTGATGTAGAGCTGGGTGCAGCCTGTTCCTCTGCAGTCAAGGGCAAATCCTCTTCCCTCAGCCAAGCCCATGCCATACGACACTGAAGCTGGGTGCTCCATGGAACCAGTGGGTGGGCATGCCCTGTCACCCCCAGCAAATTGGTACCCCCCTAGGGTGGTGCACTCTACCTTGGGGGGAGAGGAAAAAAGATAATGACATTGCAGCTCTACCAGCTCCACCCTGCCTCCAAATGCACCCACCCTGGAGGAGAAGCTGGATGTGTGCAAGCCCTATGTGCTAGACTCCAAAGATCTGCACCTGTTTTGCTGCAGGCGATGGCTCCTCACCCCTGGGATGTTACCTGCACAATGCTGCCTTCAAAACTCGTAAGAATATAAGAACAGCCAGACTGGGTCAGACCAATGGTCCATTTAACCTAGTATCCTGTCTTCCAACAGTGGCCAATGCCAGGTGCTTCAGAGGAAATGAACAGAACAGGTAATCATCAAGGAATCCATCCCCTGTTGCCCATTCCCAGCTTCTGGCAAACAGAGGCTAGGGACACTTCAGAGCATGGTTTTGCATCCCTGCCCATCCTGGCTAGACCTATCCTCCATGAACTTATCTAGTTCTTTTTTTGAACCTTGTTATAGCCTTGGTCTTCACAGCATCCTCTGGCAAGGAGTTCCACAGGTTGACTGTTCATCGTGTGAAGAAATACTTCCTTTTGTTTTTATTAAACCTGCTGCCTATTAATTGCAGTTGGTGACCCCTAGTTCTCATGTTATGAGGAGTAAATAACACTTACTTATTTACTTTCTCCATACCAGTCATGATTTTATAGACCTCTATCATGTCCTCCCCCTTAGCCATCTCTTTTCCAAGCTGAAAAGTCCCAATCTTATTAATCTCTCCTCATATGGAAGCTGTTCCATACCCCTAATCATTTTTGTTGCCCTTTTCTGAACCTTTTCCAATTCCAATAGCTCTTCATGTGCACAGCGT